AGTGGACTGAATTTTAGACCAGTTCTTGATTTTTTTGAACCGATCGATCTGGTCTAATTTTCAGAACATTAATTAAAACTGTAAACATGATCCGATTGAATAACAACTTATAAATAATTTTTAAATTCATTCAAAGTCAAACATTGAATGTAATTACTTTTTATTATCATCAATATATTTCGTGGGACATTTTACGATTTTCTTACTATTTATAAATTTGTAAAAGAAGGCTAATATCACACCTTTTGGAAAATTGAAATTTTTTCAGTCAAAGACTAACCAACTTTGACTATGCATTAATTTGAATAATAGAAAATTCCATCGATGTACACACTCAATTGCCATATATTAAATAATTTCTACTAATTGAAAATGGGGGGTGGTCTTTTTTTTTTTTTATTTGTGCTTTTGAATCTTCTTTAAGTAAAGGTAAATGCTTTTAGTAGATCGAGATTTCCTATACAAGAGTCAAAATCACTCAAAATGTCAATACAAATTTCAGAAACATTGGGCCATAGCTTGCTTAGAAATGTTTCTTGTTAAAATTACAAAAAAATTAAATAAAAGACACCAATTTGTTAAAAATGATATATTATTGGTGTGCAGTATTTTGTCATTTATTTTGTGTACACATCTCACAAAACAAATATTTGTATTCATTTCCAATCACCCATACTAAACTATGAGATCATATTTATAGAGTAGTTTAAAAAAAAAAATTATTTTGCTTTAATGAATGTGAACGACATAGACAACAATCACATGTTTTCTGATAAAGCATTACAATGTAAACATAAAATTAATGTTCTTGTAACGTGTAGTTTAAATATATGATCTAGCGATCAAAATCAAAGAGTAACCTAAGAAATGAAAATATTTTAAGTTAGAAGAAGAATATTTTACTTGAGCTCATTTTAAAATACTTTTTGAATAAAATATTATCGTTTGGTTTTGAGAGGTGAAATTTTGCATTTGCCATCAACAACTCATAAACTTCCAAAAATGCTAAAAATAGACCTTATTGGTCGGTTTACCTTGAAATGATATTCTATTAGAGTTATGTTATTCATTTATAGTCTAGATGATCTTTTATCTACGTCATAGTGATCCATTTATCACATAGATCGATTTCATCTATCCTCTAAATTATCCAATGCAATTAGGTAATATTCATATTAATTGGACAAATGTAGCAATGATTAGGCGTAGGCATGAGTTTGGTTGGATTGAATTGAATTTGGACACAACTCGAAATCGAACAGACAAGTGGAATAAAGCATCCAAACTAAATCGAGTTCGTTTGATTTGTCGGGGTTCAAGGAGATTTTATTCCTTTAAAAATCACTTATTAATTATTTGGATTGCTTATTAATAGGCACGAATTAGAATTAATTCATAGGCCAAATATAATTAATTGGATTAATTAAATATTAGACCGGATTAAGTTTAATATACGGGTCAAGCCTGTTTGGTCTTATATAAATAAGTTGTTAAGATTTGAAAACGGTAGAGAACAAGAAAAAATTAATATTTTTGTTAGCACAAAAAAAGTATAAACCCTATTCTCTCAATTTTGTTCTGTGTGTGAATTTTCATTTGAGGCTAGAAAGCAAAGAAGTTTGTAGAATAAGGTATAATTTCTATTACAGTTTCTATCCAAACACAAAGCAGATTCTTGATGAAAATTAAAATATTATTTAAATTTTGTTGTGCATGACTAAATAAATTCCCAACAAACACCACCATCTAAACAATCGTATTGATCAACGTAATCACCAAAAGTGGTACAAGTTATTTTATTATTTAAATCAACGACGAATAGTTGATTATTTATTAGAATTTGATATAATGTACAAAAATTTCAGCCACGTTAAAAATGGGCATCCACTTTATTTTCCCTTACACAACCAAGAATTAATATATAATATAAATTTTCCATGAGAAAATCTTTGTCGTAGAGATTGTCTCATGATGGGAAAGGATAGCTACTCAATGGGCCATTGTCTAAACTTCAAAAGTGGTAAGTGTTTCAAAAGTAGAGTCCTTGAAGCAGCCAATCACTGTTAAAAGAATACAAAATTAATCTAAATGGATAATAATTTATAAATACAATTAAAGTCAAAATTAAATTTAGATGAATATCTAATGGAGTGTTCTATTATTTCTCATATTATTTATATTTATAAAATATTTATGGATTTGCCAAACGAAGGCTAAGATCACGTCTTGGACTTGGGAAAATTGAAACTTTTTTTTATAAAATAAATCAAACTTACCAACATTCACTAAGCATATATTTTTAGAAGTAAAAAATTTCATTACTCAATTCGAACATTAAGCCTCTATTTGATTTTACTAAAAATGATAAAAATTGATGAAATGTATGGTTGATAAAAGTTGTGAATCCCATAAAATTGTGATTGAAAATGAATTTAAAAAAGGGAGGGGGGTTCAAATAGCTATAAAAAAAATTAAAACAACTACAAATAAATTCCAAAATTAACATGTTTGGTAAGTTGTGTAAAAAATGTCCTACTGTATCCATTAACAACTATAAAAGAAAGTCAAAATCACTCAAAATGGTCAATAAAATTTCAGAAACATTGGGCCATAGCCAGCTTAAAAGTTTCTTCTTATATTTACACACAATTTAAATTAAGACACAGAATTTGTTAAAGATTACATATTTTTGGTGTGTTAATAGTATTATTTTGTGGCATCTTTTGAATCATTTATAATCACTCATATTCAAATATTAGATCATTTATAGATTAGAAAATAGAAAAATGTTATGGAGACATTTAATAGGTTTATTGAATTTTTCACACGTAAAAAGATAAATCGCTAAAACCATACATGGTTCACCTATTTACAATTGAATCAGCGGTTTATTGAATTTTTCACAGGTTTCCTTTTCATCCAAGTTTTAACCTATGAACGGACCAACCAGTTCTTGATTTTTTCGAACCGATCAATTTGGTCTAATTTTTAGAACATTAATTAAAAGTGTAAACACGATTCGTTTGGATAACAACTTATAAATAATATATAAATTCGTTCAAAGTCAAACATTAAATTAACTACTATTTATTATTATCAATACATTTCGTGGGACATTTTAAGATTTTCCTCCGATTTATAAATTTGTGAAAGAAGGCTAATATCACACCTTTTGGAAAATTGGAATTTTTCAGTCAAGCTAACCAACGTTTGCATTAATTTGAATAATAGAAAATTCCATCGAGGAACACACTCATTTACCAGATATTAAATAATTTCTGCTAATTCGAAATTGAGGGGTGGTCTTTTTTGTTTGTATTTGTGCTATTAATCTTCTTTTAAGTAAAAGGGTAAATGCTTTTAGTTGATCGAGATTTGCTATAAAAAAGTCAAAATCACTCAAAATGGTCAATGCAAATTTCAGAAACATTGGGCCACAGCCGCTTAGAAATGTTTCTTGTTAAAATTACAAAATTTTTTAAATAAAGACACCAATTTGTTAAAAATGATATATTTTTTTGGTGTGCTACTTTTTATCATTTATTTTGTGTACACATCTCACCAATCAAATATTTGTATTCATTTCCAATCATCCATACTTGACTATGAGATCATATTTATAGATTAGGAAAAAAAAAATATTTTACATTAATATATGTGGAGGACATAGATAATAATCACGTGCTTTCTGATAAATTATTACAATGCAAAAACAAAAAAAAAAAAAAAAACAAAATTAATATACGTTGTAATGTGCAGTTTATCTTGAACATATAATGCAGCGATTGAAATCAAAGAGTAATCTAAGAAACGGAAATATTTTAAGTTAGAAGAAGAATATTTTATCTTGCAATTGTGCTATGGCACTAGAACGATTGACTCGTTTGTTGACAGGATGACGTGGACGGCCTGTTTTGAAATTCAAATTACTTTCAAATATGCTCTTTCACCATAGAGTTTGACTCGTTTGGTGACAAAATGAGGTGGAAAGGGGGATTAAAAAAAAAATAACCGACAGAATGAGGTGGAAAGGGGGATTAAAAAAATAAATAAAAAGCCCTTGAAAGGAGTCCACAGAAAGGGGGATTAAAAAAATAAATAAAGTGCAAAACGAGCCCATAGAAGAAGCGCCAAAACGGAATCCAGAAACCTTGTTCGCGCGTCCCACTTTAGAAAAAATCATTTGGGCAAATTCTGAAAGGTGTTGGTCTCCGACGAAGAATTGGGAGAACGCTGCTCTTCTACCACACCAGTCTCCGACGAAAATTGAGCAAAATTTCAGGAGCAATTGGACTTCATCTTTGAAGATGGCAGAGAAGGGTATGTTTATTCACTATTTAATTTTTTCCTTCATATGAGTTGTTTAATCTTTACCAACATGCTTGGATATCTCCACTATCCTATTTTCCCTCTTATGCTTGGACATTTTGTAATGTTGTTGGAAATTGTCCGAATTGTTGTGAGTAAGAGAACCACCAAGTTTGATAAAGTAGTTTTTTTTTTATTCAAATTTTCGCCCTTTTCAGCATAAAAGATTCGTGTTTGAGCACGAATGTTGTCAATAAAATGTTTCGTTGAGATTAGTTGATTTTGGGCCTTTGTTCTGAGATCAATTGAGGGATCTGTTATTATTTTTTTCTTTTGACACTTTGGGCCTTTGTTCTATGATCAATTGAGGGATTTATTTTCATTTTTTCCTGTTAAAGTTACGACATATTGCTTCGCCTTATTAGTTATGAAGTAGACATGTGATTTGTCTTTCTTTTGCAAGTTTCAATTGTTGTGTTATAAAATATTTCATTGTTATATGATGTTTTGCAATGCAATTGCTTTTTCTATTGTAGGGAAAGATATTTCGGAACACGTGGACAACATTACTCTGGTGGAGTCCGATAATGAGAATATGCCTCATAGTATGAATTTAATGGAGAATGATATGTTAGGGGGAGATGTTGCGAAGGTGCCTGAGGTGCCTGAGGTGGTTTGAAGATGAAAATAAAATGTTTGAATTTTACAAAAGATATGCTTACGATATAGGTTTTCCAGTGAGAAAAAGGAACTCAAAAAAGGACGACGACGGAATATTGAGATATATTACATTTGTTTGTAGTCGTGAAGGGAAAAGACGTAGAAATACAAGCAGTACTTTGAAGCCGCAACCAACCATTCAGAGTGGGTGTAACGCCAGGATCACCGCATCTTCAAATATCTACGGGGTATGGAGAATCAACACAGTACACCTTGAGCACAATCATAAAACAAGTCCTTCGAAATCCAGGCTATATCGATATAACCGAGAATTGAGCGCACATGTTAAACGACGGCTTGAAGTAAATGACATTGCTGGAATTCCACTGCACAAAAGTTACAACTCTACTGTCGTTGAAGCTGGTGGATACGAGAATATGACTTGCATTGAAAAGGATTGCCAAAATTATGTCGAACAAATTCGACATCTAAGACTTGGAGAAGGAGACGCCGTAGCAATACAATCATATATCTCGAAAATGCAAGCGCAGTGTTCAGGTTTTTACTTCAGTATGGATTTGGATGAAGAGTTGCGACTAAAGAATGTTTTCTGGACAGATAATCGGAGTAGACAAGCATATAAGGAGTTCGGGGATGTTGTCACAATTGACACCACGTACCTCACAAATAATTATGACATGCCTTTTGCCCCTTTTGTTGGTGTGAACCATCATGGACAATCAACTCTCCTAGGATGTGGTTTATTATCAAACGAGGATACAGATACATTTGTTTGGCTATTTAGGACATGGTTGGAATGCATGCACACCCAAGCTCCGAATGGGATAATTACAGATCAAGCTAGAGCTATGCAAAATGTAATTACGATAGTGTTCCCAAACACAAAACATCGATGGTGTTTGTGGCATATTTTGAAAAAGTTGCCGGAAAAGTTTGGATATCACGTGGACAAGGGTTCAATATTTGCTACTATACACGCGTTGGTATATGATTGTCAGTTTATTGAAGAATTTGATAGAGGCTGGATAGAGATGATCGAAAAGTATAATTTGTATGATAATGAATGGTTGGCTGGTCTATACGACAACAAGGAACGTTGGGTTCCTTGGTTTTTGAAAACCACATTTTGGGCAACGTTCCTTGTTTTTTGAAAACCACATTTTGGACAGGGATGTCAACCACGCAACGTAGTGAGAGTATTAATGCATTCTTCGATGGTTATGTGCATTCGAAAACAATGTTAAAGCAATTTGTTGAACAATACGAACGAGCTTTGAGAAATAAAGTTGAGAAGGAGTTTCAAGCAGATTTCAAATCTTATTCGCAAATGATACCCTGTGCAACGCACTATGAAATGGAGAAACAATATCAGGCGGTGTACACAATATCAAAATTCAGGGAAGTTCAAGAGGAGTTTGTGGGCAAGGTGTATTGTGATCTCATTTATGCTTCGGAGGGATTCTTAGGAATGACGTATGAGGTACACGAGGATGTCGTATATGAAGAGCATTCCAAAAAGAAAACCGTTTTCGTGTCATTTCAAAGAGACAAATGTGAGTTTACTTGTAGCTGCCACTTTTTTGAATTTTGAGGAATTATTTGTAGATATGCTATTGCAGTTTTGATTCGCAACAACGTAAAAAAAAGTGCCGGACAGATATATACTAAAGCGCTGGCGACGAGATGTGAGTAGAGCACACACAAGAGTTGCAGTGAACTATGCCGGATTGGTTTGTACTCCGGGACAATTGATGTTTGATAAAATGTGTCAGCGTTTTGCTACATTAGCGAACATGACTGCAGATGATTCATTAAGGGCCAATGCTATACTCAATTGGATTGACATGCAGTGTGAGCAGACGATGGCGTCGAAGTCTAGTCATGGTAGTAATGTTATCCCATTGCACATTATGCAAATATCCTCTAGGGTTGATGCAACACAGGGAACTGGAAGTGATAGCGTGCGTGATCCAGAATGTGCGAAAAGAAAGGGTAGACCTAGGAAACTTCGTAAGAAGTGTCCTTTGGAGTCAAGTTCAAAGAAAGTTAAGGTAATTCCCACAATATTTATACCCACATTATGTGAAGTTACTACACATGATATATAATTCCCAAATTTTTGTAGGTAACTTCAAGCTCGAAAAAAATTACGAGACCAAAGGTCAGGCAAAGTAATATGGAAGATGTTGGTTGCCGTATTTAGGCCCCTCAACAAGCACAAGTAGCCATGCAAATACCGTTATCATATACACAACTCTTACTGGTTAGTTATGTATAAAATTATCATAAGTTCCATACATATACGATTTACTTCAAATTTTATTCATGTAGGGTGACAACCAAAGTGTTGAATTCACGCAACATTTACATGCCTCCAATTGGATGCATCCATCTTCAACTAATCCGACATTGACTCCACAAGGTAAATTAGTGCAGATTACATAACATGTAATCTGTGTTACTAGATGCTGGGTTATAATGAGGGAACCTCTTGAACCAATTTATCAAAAATGTATACGCGTCCCCAGCTGCAACATAACAGAATATTGAACTAGGATTACAAAGTTTTATCCAATTAATATTGGGAAAAATAGAGCAGCGACTTTGAGTTGATAATTGAAAAAAATTCCTTTTGCTAGATATTTATTCGACTAAAAATTTCAGAATATGATCTTAGTTAAATTGAAGAAGTGAGAGCATGGTAGAGATAATTATCAAACTGGAAAATATTTCCTTTCTATTAGCATCAAAATTGTGCCTAAATAATTTTTTATTAGCTCATTACATTTTTTATTAGCGTCAAAATTGTATATTTGTGCCTAAGAATTCTTGACTTATTATTTCCATCTCATACTATAGTGGATCATCCACAAGTTGGGGTATACAACCGGTGCATGATGATGTTGGTGGTAGAAGACCAACTTTGGATCTACATGATGGAAGAGTTAGTAATGCACTTGCAGATGTTGGACATTCTTTAACATTTGGGGAGCAACTATAGTTCGCTTCATTTTGATATCTACTTGCCACAGTTATAGTTTTTGTAAATAAGAGCACCACGACGACACCTTCCACCAGCCTTCCCAGTGGCGGTTCGCCTGTCATCACAACTCTTTCCACAAGCGTACTAGGTGGTGGTAGCAATGGCCTAGGCCCTTCTAGTATCAACAATGACATTAGTGATGCCGAGATTTTACTAAGAAAAAACAGCCTCTTTCCCTCCATTATCGCCCTATTTTTGGGACTCGTTTTCTTGTGTGCTTGAAGAAGAAAGATGAATGACTCTTAATGGGAGGTGATGATGTGCAGAAATGAACATGCATGTGAATCTATATTTTAAGACAACCTTAATTTTTTTTCTTCTGTGTAGTTACGGTCTTCAAATTTCCTTCAGTGTAGTTGCTGTTTGCTAGTCCACATATGCTATATGATAACTGGAGGTCTGTTAATTAATAGTATGGGTTTTTCATTAATTCTTCTCAGGACATCTCTAATGGTACACCAAATTGGTATACATCAAATAATTTTATCAATTTGGTGTGATGAATAATATATTTTAGGATAAAGCTTGGTGTACATAATTTCTAATCCTCCATGAAAAGTAAGAAATTCCGCAGTTCTAATGTGATTTTGGCTAGATTAGCATATCCAAAAATTCCGCAGTGATTTTGAAGAAAGGCAATATCATGAATTGGGTGAATGTGGGAAAAGAAAGGGTGCTAATGAACTTCTTACTTTGGGTGTATGTGGATTAAGTGGTATTAATATACATTATGAATTATTACTCACTTATTAATCTGTTGGTCAAATTGAGAAAAATTGAAAGTTTCTTTGTAAATTTCAGAATGTGCCTTATGTTTTGGGAAAACGGTTGACTTTGGAACTCAATTCATGTGTAATCTTCTTCAGAAGTTGGTAGCGACATACAGTTGGAGAAGCTTTACACAATGTTATTGCAAAGTGGTAATTATGCAAATACAATTTCTAGCTCAATGCAAAAGTATTACAATCCATTATCACTGGAAGAATCTGAAACTAGTGCGTTAAATCAACTATACTGAACAGACGAGGCAGCAAGGTCAGTTTCTGGAATTTACGAATTGTTAAAGCATTCTTAAACATCCGATGCACACTACAAACATAACTATGAATCTACTGAGTTACATTGTCAGGAAATTACAATTACAATACGGATAAACAACTTAGGCACTTGCTCTTCCATTGCGTATTTTCACCTCCACCTTCACAGATATCTCAACTTCTTTTTCATTAGTTAGGCGGCAACGTTTTTCGAATAGGTTAGATAAATCATCCGCTGCTGCGTTCACCACATTATTAAAACTTGATGCACTACTAGTTTCTGTCCCTCCAACTCACTCCCAATATCCGCATTTGACGCTGCAAGTATTGAATAGTCGACCTTGGTTTTTCGTTTTCTTCTCAACCTCAAAACACTTCACGAAAGCATACTTGCACCACGGACAGGGGCGTTTGTTCAGGCATTCAACAAAAAAATACCCTTCCAGCCTACAGCTATGGCACACTCTGTAATTCTTTCCTCTCATGGTAATCTGGGATTCATCCACATAAATCAACACACAATGATCAAACGGAGCAATAAGCTATATTGTTAAAGAGGGAATCATACAAATGAAAGAAATGCAAGCTATCCTTTTAGCTAATTTCTCATCAGTATGTATGATTCAAATTAAAGGTTTCAATTCAATAGCATTGGGTATACATACATTCAGCATTCAAATATAAAGATTATAGGATGAACGACGAAATCTTCATATATATGTACCAAGTTTTGTCGTGTCGAAGAACTGGAAACAGTTTAAGTGAAATAAAATTTTCTCATGTAGTCCCATCTTCGCAACAACATTTAGTCTAAATAATTCGCTACCTTCAAAACAAACAAGAACAAACTAGCCAAGTCTAATTTTGCAAAGTGAATCTCTTCTCGTTAATTTTTTTTTGGTCAATCTTAATTATTCAAATCAAACATTAATGCTAAAAGATACTGTTAAGATCCGGACCCATTTATGCCGTTAAAAAACTCCTCTGACGTTGGTTTTTCTTGCAATATAACATTCTTAGAGAAACAACAAGAGTAGTTGTGCCATAAAATCACTTTAAAAGGAACCACAATAGCACTAATAATGATTCCATCGCAGATAAACCTTAACTAATTAAGGTTAGAAAATAATAAAATTGTCACCCAAAAGTTAAGCAAATCAAATTATTACGAAGGGACATTCAATGCATTCTAATTAGTGTACCAAAATATGAAGCACTCCCAATTAATTTTTTAGGAAACCATTTCTCAGGAACTGCTTTCTCCTCCTACTCTGAATTGTTTAATTTATCTTTGTCAAGTCTCTCATTTTGAAAGTTAATTTCATATTAACCTAATCAACAAAGAAGGAAACAAATTGAAACGGGTTATGAGCTGGGGCATCATTTTGTAAAGTTGCTATTTTCGCAATAACCGGCTAGAAACATGAAAACCTGTCCCTTTTGTTCGTCAGATTCCCACAAGCGTACAGGTTCATTGTACAAGTAATAATCGTGATGAGAGAGTTATCGTCCCACAGGGAATAAGGATCAATTTTAGCATATTTGATATAGTTAATTCGTATTTGTAACAGAAAAAAACGATCGAGGGAATAGCTAAATAGTTTTTATAACTAAAACTTGTGAAAATAATTAAATTTGGTTTAAAAATTCAAATGTGTAAACGTATTGGATTTCCGACGCCATTGATTAATTCTTAGTTCTAATTCTCAACCAATAATAATTATCTCAATTTATGCAATTGCGACGATCGATAATTCCGTTTATTTATTTATTTATTATTCTTTCCCAAGATATAATAAACCTATGATTACCACGAGACGATCCTATTCATAAGTCAAATTCATATGGCAAACATGCATTGACAATTAGAATTATCATATAAGATCGCACACGCCACAAATACTATTCCTAATATTTATTGTTCATGTGTCCCAATAATAGTGTTATACCTATCGTGAGTTTTCCAACACTACGAAAAAGCAACTTATCATCCTAATGGTGCGCAAAAATTAGAACAATCTAATTAAGCATATTATTGGAATCACAACGCAATAATTAACATAAAAACATA